GCCTGGAATCCAGCCTCATGGTAAAGTGACTCCTGAAGATGCCAGGTGTGAAAGAGCCCTGCACAGTGCTTTTTCATAAGTCCAAGGACAATATGGAGTCCACTTGGACTGAAAGACCTCTGCTGTGGACTTGCCTGTCTGCTGTCCTGGCTTTCTACATCTCAGTGTTCACGACCTGAGGTGGAGCCCCATGCCCCACATCCTATTCTCCATTCCTCCTTACAGCTGCAGACCAGAGCTGGGGACCACTGTCCTGGTCACCAAACATTCTCCTTTCTGCCTGTGGCAAAGAGCTAATCGAAGATAAAAACTTAGCTAGTAGACATGTGAGTCCTTTGCAAACTACAAAGCTGTTTCTTCATCCACCAACTCAGAGACGAGGGATCTGAAAACTGAGTAGGTTTTGACTTGAGTTTGTTCCTGAAACGACCCAATGGTAGCTTAGTGGGTATGCCAGTATTTCTTATAAGACCTATCTCCTTCCTGCTAGAGAGGCCTGGCCTAAGCAGCATCCCCCACCCACCACTACCTTGTGCTACTCTGGGTGGCTCCCTGACCCCAGGGAGCTAAGTTTAGGATGGGAATTCTGGGTGTCCAAGGACTTCTCAGGCTGCTTCAGGGTGGGGGTGGATGGATTTGTTCATGGCTACATGGGGGCTACTATGTGATAACTAATGTGCAGTGGTTCTGCGTTTCTGACATCTTTCTCTCCTCAGCATGGCAGAGGGTTCTATGAGATGGGCAGAGGTGACAGTCTATGAGTTTGACCCCACAGAGGCCCTAATAGGACCTGGATACTGGAGAGGTGGTGGCAGAGGTTACTCTCATGTAGTGGAGGCAGGCCACTAGCCACATCTACCATCTCTATCCAGCTATGGAAGCCTCTGTGAGAATGAGATAGATGTCTCCCGTGGAAGCCAAGAAGGGAGCACAGAAAACTTCCTGGGTGCAGTGTTCCTTTAAGGAGTGGTTTCTAACTCAGAAACCACCACTTATTGTGACACACTCCAGGGTGTTGATGCCTGGGTAGGTGTTTACCTGTGCAACGCTTGAGAAGGTGAGATTTTAACCCCTGACCTCCCGTCATAGTGGGGTGAGCAACACAGAAAATGCTAAGCTAGTAGAGTTCTATCGTGTACTGACCAGCTTCCTGGTGGTCCTCACACCCTGAATTAGATACTGTGGGCTGGTATTGAAGATACCCAGGGAGAGCAGGACTGGGGATGACACCCTGGGTGTTGTACCTGGATGTACATCCTTCTTTGCACCAGTCTGTAAGTGTCTCACCCATGGTGGTTGTCAGATGCCCAGTGATGTGTAAAGTATCAGTGGCTCCCAGCCCTTGCTAGCCTGGCTCTAGGCTACTCCGTTTCTGCCAGCAGTGTGTGAAGAGGAGACCTCCTGGCCTGAAGGTGCTTTTTCATACCAACATTTCAGCACCATCTTTTCTATGGGCCTGTATTTTAAATTTTTTCAAGGACTTACTTTCTAAGATCAAAGGGGAAAGAACAGTTAGTGACTAAGTAAAATCAGTTGCCAACCTGATCAGTATAAATCTCAGATCCTAAGCGACTGAATCACGCAGAACAAATCTGTGCTCTGTCCCAGAGAGTGACTGCAGCGCTGGCGTGATACACTGTGGCTTTCTGCCCAGACCTACCATCCTACAAGATGCAGCTGGTTTGAAGCCTGCCACTTCAAGCATCACCTTTATAAATTTAATTATTATTCTGCCTGGTTACCCACCTACCTTGCTCATGCCTCCTTTCCATGAATGCACAGTCTGCAGTTGGAGATTCTGAGGGGCTTGATGGGGCTGGTTTCCCACTCAGATGACTGGTGATGTAATCCCATTTGACCCTTAACCCTGGACTTTGAAAAGATGCATTATATTTGATTAATAGTAGGCAAAAGCCCTTGAGGATGGGCTTTTTGTCAGCTATAAATAAAAGGAGATAATTAGCAAATAGCAGATTTGACTGTGTGGCTCTGACGTGCACTCTCCGCACTGTCTGTGCAGGAAGCCCTTTTTCTACTTTGTCCCTTTGAGAGAGGCCAGGGTTCTGGCCAGGGTCATGAGCAAGCAGCAAAGACCAGTCTCCTCAAATCCACACTTCCTCCTACTTCCCATGAGCTGGGTGTCCTCCTGTGCCAGGTTTCTGACCCACCCTGCTCTACAGCTTCTTGTCACTATGATTTTCTCTCACTTGGGTAGCAGAGCCAGGGGTCAGAATGCCCCCCACGTGGGCAGAGGTACACAAAATGCTGCACAGGTGTCTTGCTGCCTGGTTCTCCTGATGGAGCTGCTGAGTCCTTGAGTTGATTTGTAAGAGGAAGGACCATTGACTCAGCCATCTAATTTTGAAAAAAAAAAAAAGACCTAGTAACTAAAGAGTGACTCCTTGCTTCCATGGACTCAGGTACTCACATAGGCCAGGGCTGTTTTTTGTGAATAACTCAGCAGCTGAACACTCCGTAGTTCATATTGAGCTGGTCCTGGCAGCAGGGGCGTCAACTGAGGTAGCCACCCCTTCCTCCCCATCTGCAGAGTAGTGGTCACTTCATCCCTAGAAAGGCTGACTCCCTAACATATAAGGGTCCAGGGGGAGGTGGTGCCTTGAAGTCATGGAGGGTCCTGAGCTCAGGCTGTCTGCTGCCTCGTGCCCTGAGGCCCCTCTTAACTCTCCCCGTCTAACTCTGGTGGGGTCAGAGCTGGGGTCCCATGGTGGTAGGTTGTTTTCTGTACTGCCTTGTGCTCACACAGAGGAGCTCTGTGAGGACTGGCCTACCCTGGCCTTTGACCATGTGGGAAGGGGATGACCTGCTTCCTGCTGGGTCATCTTCGGGCCTCTGCCTCCTTCCGATCTGTCTCAGCAGTAAAATATTCTATACTTTAAAAAAACTCCTGTGTACAAGCTACACTGGGTGAGGAGACTAAGAAATTCCCCATCTCAAAGCGCAGGCTCTTGTTTCTTGAGTGGCAGAAACACCAGGAAGGCTGAAAGATTACAATGCAGGCAGGAAATGTCACCTAGCCCTCCATGCTCTAGAGCCTAGAGCAGTGTAGCTCAAAATGAGGCCATGTTGGCTGGGCATGTCTGTGACCACCTGAAGTGTCCTTAGGAACTAACCAGTGATCACTCAAGATATATAGTCTTTAGATTACTTATTTATTATCTTACGTACATTTGTGCATGGGTACACACGTATGTGCAGGCGCATTTTGCACATGTTTATGTGTGCCTGTGGAGGCTAGTGGATCTCTGATGTGGTTCCTTAGGTGCCATCTTTTTATGTTTTGTTTTGGCCTGGAATTTGTCAAGTAGGCTAGGCTGGCTGACCATTGATCCTCAGGGATCTGCCTGTCTCTGCCTCCTCAGTGCCTCCTCAAGTGCATGTCAATGTGCCTGCCATTTTTTTCATTATTTCTGGAGTGCAAAGTTTAGGCCCTTGCGCTTTCAAGGTATGCATTTAACCAACTGAGCCACCATCCCAGCCCAGATTATTTATTTGTTTGAGTTTGGGGGAGGATGAAGCCCAAACATGATGGTCCCTGCAGCTGTGGTTGGGGTGGGAACGTGATGCCTCACACAAAGTGATGTGCGTTCAGGCCTAAATCACCTCCACAGAAAATTTAAATATATCATTCTTGGTCGGTGACCCATTCCAGCACTGCACTGCTTACAAACAAGCCATTGCTGAGACGTTGTCTGAATGGTGTTGGACTCTGTGTGTTGAGCTTCTAGGTGAGACCAGCCTAGGGTCTGTAGCATGGTGAGTGGAAACTAGGGCTCTTCTTGCAGTGCTTACTGATACTCTAATACGCATGACACCAGGCCCCTGGTACCTCCTTGCACTAGTCAGGGGCTGGGGCCCTGTGTGTTCAGTGTTACGAGGTTCACCAGCAAATGTCTATAGGACCAAAAACAGGATTTAAGGCGAATGCTGTATAGTTAGTATCTGCTGCCACCATCTGACATTTTGGGTTACAGTGACTCCATGACCCACCTCCTCAGGCCTTTTGTGGCCTGGGTCTTCAGGGTAGAAGTTACCTTTTAAGCCACCTGGTGATCATCCCCACAAGTCACAGAGTCTTCCAGACACTGAATGTCCAGGACATCAACACTGATCAAAGCCTAGCTCCCTGCCCTGTAGCAGTGACTACCATCTCTGGTCCCATTAGGTTGGCTTCTCTGAGAATCCTGTTGGACCTTCCTGCCCTTGCCAGTGCTATCCTGGGGCAACTGGGGTGCAACTGTTCCTGCCCTACATTGATCTATGGCTTACAATGAAAGCAGGAGCAGAGGCACCTGCCTGGCAGCCAGGGCTCAGGCCTACTACTGGCCCCTGCCTCATAGGTATCAGGTGCATAGTGGGATTGGGGCAGGCACGGGACCCTGAACAACTGGGGGTTTGTAGTGGCTGTAGGCCCATGATGATGGCAGATGCCCCTGTTGGCCAGCAAGCCATCTGTAGACAACAGGTGAGAGCCCTGGGGTGCCTTCACATCTGCCAAAGCGGTGGGCAGAGGAGAAGCTTTGTTTACCTGTGAGTCAGGTCCCGCCCTTCTCCCTTGTGTGGGGGCGCTCTCTCTCTCTCTCTCTCTCTCTCTCTCTCTCTCTCTCTCTCCTTTCTCTCTCTCCCTCTCTCTCTCTCTCTCTCTCTCTCTCTCTCTCTCTCTCTCTCCTTTCTCTCCCTCCCCCCTTCCCTCATCTTTCCCTTCCGCTCTTCTTCCCTCCCTCCTCTCTCCTCTATCTCTCTCTGCCTGCTCTCTGGCTCTTAGACACGTTTTAAAAAATTGATGGTGAATCATTCAGCACACAGCATTTGTGCTCTGAGAAACAAAGACATGTATTGGAAACTGAAATGCTTTCTTCCAGCCACGTGACTACAGCTCCCTAGGTGTTTGTGGCTCTGCAGGCTCTGAGGGCTGGTCCCAGGGGCCCCGTGGGTGTGGGGCTGGTTTCCTCCCTGTGACAGTGTGTCTGCTCTTCCAACAGATGAAATCATGCACCAGGACATCGTCCCACTCTGTGCTGCGGACATCCAGGAGCAGCTGAAGAAGCGCTTTGCTTACCTGTCTGGTGAGTTCAGGAAGCCAGGGTTGTGGGAGCAGCCTGTGAGCTGGAGCCAGACACTGCCTGGGCCTGGTGTAGGCCTGGCCCCAGCAGTTCTTCCCCTGGGGTTGAGACAGGAAGAGTCACCAGGGCTACAGCCTACCCTGGATCAGCTGCAGAGTGGCTTCACTGTGCTCTGTGACGCAGACAGCATGATGCATGTTGCTGGCAGCTGGAAGGAGGTGGCGGGGCCTGATCAGTTTCCTCTGTATTCTTACTGCAATTTTCCAAACTATGTGATTCACCAAGAAAAGAGGTTTATTTGGCTCCCAGATCTGGAATTCCAAGACTGAGGGCTACATCTGAGGTGGCCTTCTTGCTGGCTAAGTCCTGAAGTGATTGAGGGCATCATGTGATTAGAGACAGTACACCAATGTGCACCTACGTGTCTCTGTGTGCGTCTGTGTCCTCCAGTCTCTCTTTATAAAGCCACTAGGACTCAATCACAGGGCACCTGGCTGGTGACTAATCCTAATCACCTCCCAGAGGCCCCCTCTGTTTACCATAATTGGATTAAGTTTCTACCTCTCAGAACCTCCCAATAGAGATTAAACTCTAGCACTCAAAAGGCACTTAGATCCCAGGGTCCTGAGATGTCAGGGTCTAGAGAAGGATGAGCAGGTCTGACTCAGGCTGCCTGGAACATGGGCTGTCAACCCCACTGGCCTTGCTGTGGTAAGGGCTGGGGCTGTCCCACCGGATGCCCCCTCTCAGGCAGCAGTGGTCTTGAGCCTGGCCAAGCCAAAGCCTGAGGGACTGGCTGTCCCACCTTATGCAGTAGCTGGTGCATCCATGCCTAGCCTTGTAACAATACTCATGTGTTAAGGCTACACAGGCTCCCTGAGAGAGTGCCCTCAGCACACAGATGCTGCCACGTCTATCTGCCGACACCAATTCAGAGTAAGGCCACATGTGAGCCTTCCTTAAGATCTGAGGCTAGCTCAACAGCTTTGGGACCCCCTCCTCAGCCATATGAGGTGGGGGGGCCTCCATCCATACCCATGACCCTAGATCTAGCTCAACACTCAGTACCTTCTCTGCCTTGTCTGACATGTCCCTAGTCATCAGACCTGTGGTCAAGGTGACCTGTTCCAGACACATAGATGGGGGGGTTGGGGGGGGAGCCTGGCAGCAGGGCTGAGGTACAGTTAGTAGGGTTTATGTCACTGACTAAGAAGAGTCCAGCAGGGTGAGGCAAGCAGGAAAGTGGAGCCTCTGAGAAAGTGGCTGATGAAGCAAGTCAGCGCTTCCCAAAGAGGAGTCATCCTGAGGAGGAAGGAGAAAGTGGGTTCCTGAGAGGACAGTGGGAGGGGTGAGGATTAACCTGGGCTAAGGACAGTTGCAACAAAAGTTTGTGAATATGCTACTGTGTCTGGCCCTCGTCCCTGCTTCTGACCTCCCCACCTTCCTCCTACCTGTCCTACCGCAACAAGGGTCCAGGCTTAGATACGTGTGTACCCTCACCTTGAGTCACTAGCCTTGACCTTAAACATGAGCTGCCCATTTGTCCCTACTTGGGGGCCCAGTGTACCTGGGGGGCGAGAGCCTGGGAGCCCTAGTGCCTCCTCACACCCCTCTACAACCCAACACCATCCTGGGAGTTCCAGGCTTCTTGGTAGATGATGGTAAGATCAGGTTCCCATCAGCTAAGATTCCTTGTTGAATGTGACCTCATCAGCTGAGGCCCTAGACATTGACTCCACCTGCCCAAGAGAGTACCAAATGAGAAAGAGACACACAGCTGAGGTTCTCTATCCAACTGTAATGGTTTGGAAGTGTCTGAGGATGAGCTCATAAGGGCCTAGAAAGCTGATAGCCGCCCCCTCTGGCAGCTAGAACACAGACCTCAGTCCCCTAACCACAAGGGTCTGTACTCTGCTGTCACCTGAGGGGGCCTGGAAGAGGCCCAAATTCAGGTGAGATGCAGCCCACAGGCCTCTGAGACCTAAGGGTTCTGCTCAGCCAAGCTTGGTAGCTGTGAGCTGGTAAATGGTGGTGTTCTCCATTGCCAAGAGTGTGGAAATTTATTATAAAATGATTCCAATACATAGAATTTGAATGTCTACAACCATCCTCCAAGTTAGACCATCTGGGCTTCCATCATGTTAATGGAGACTTCGTACCCAAGGCACTTTGCAAACCTCAACAGGTGTCCATCCTTTTCTTGTTCTTGCATCCCATTCACCAGGACACGCTGGCACCCTACCTGGGGATCTGCATTGTCACTGTGCCTGAGCCACATCCATGCTTGGAACAGCCCTGCTCTGCTGGCTTGTTGCTTTTCTGTCCTCTGGAAGATACAGCTTCATACTCTATAGCCAACCCTGGCTTGCTCTCCAATCTTCAACCCTGTTATAAGGTTATAAGACTATGACAGGATTTAAAACAAAACCACTATAAGCTATAAATGTCAGTGCCTACTGGTGCAGGATTCTGCATTTTACTTTCTTGTCTGCTGTAAACCAAAATTAGGTAGGAAATTAGCTCATTCTTAGGCATACAAATCTAAAGTCTTCAGGACAGTCACTCAGCAGGTCTCAAGATGACCCCATGATGCAGCTGTCCTGAAAATGCTCATCAAGCACCTTTGCAATGCATGTGCAGTATCAGAGACATTCACCACATTCACCCACTGCTTGGGACTCTCCAGTATGGAGCAGGATTGCCCCTCCCATGCCCCAGGCCTGTTGGATGTACAGAGATGGGAGGCTGAGGAAGCTTTGTGCAGCCACCTGGCTGGCCTACAGGCTCCAGGGCCCCACAGACTCCATGGTCTTTGCCCCAGAATGCTGTTGACTCTCTCTGGTGGTACCTCACTTTCCCAGTGTTCATAGCCTACCCTCCTTCCTGGCAGCTTAAAAGGCTGAATTGCAGCTGATCTGAAGTTTTCTCCAAATGTATGGCCACCTCACAGAGAGTTCCAGGGACCCTCAGCACCCTTTCCACCTATGGGCAGAGTCTGTGGTAGACTCCTCAGACCCTCAGGGCTTTGTCTGTTTCTGACACCACAGCCAGTCTGGGCTAGTCTCTGCTCTTGGGCATCACCTTCAAGAGAAACAGAAATGGACAGGCACTTGGAAGCCCTACGTGCGCACAGAGCATCAAAGCAGGGTGATCAACAGAAGACTAAAGGGCAGAGCCACTCTCACCGGCCTCTGTGTTGTGCTTCAGGAGCCCATGGTCACGTGGTGTCTGAGATAGCTGAGAGGCTTTGGCCTAAATGTCCATGTTCCCCCATATCTGCATGTCAAGGCCCAATCCCCAATGAAGTAGTGTGAGGAGATAGGCTATCTAGTAAGCACCATCTGTCAACCACAAAGTCCTCATCAGTCACTGAGGCTGCAGGCACCCTGACCTAGGACTTACAGCCTCCAGAGCTGTGAAAAAGAAACTTCTGCTGTTTATAAACCACCAGTTGTTAGAGCACACCAAACAGATGAAGACGCTAATGCTTGTGAAAGTATAAATCACTATGTTAAACCCTTTGCGCTGACAAAGGCCTTCTTTAAATCTAAATCCGTGATTTCTTATAAATACCCAGCTTCAGAAGGATACCTTTGGACACTTTTGTACTAACATGAAGTTTTATGTCTTTTTAAAGATTTTGTTTTTAACAATTATCTCAGGATATAGATTTAAGCATTAATTATCATTTTAACAATTTCATTCCTAAGCAGCCTGCTTGAACCTAGGGGAGGCAGTTATACTCGGTCTCCGGTTTCTGGACCTGGATAAAAACAGGGAAAGGCAGCAACTGCTCTGGGCTGTCAGGTGCAGGGTCCTGGATGCCTCTGGAATGGACAGTGTCAGGAGAAGTGACTACACCTCCTGCTCCTGGTTGGAGCCATTGTCCAGCTGTCTTTGGGAGCTGTGGACAGGCCAGAGTCACGGAAAGACTGTACCCTTGACTCAGTGGGAAGAGCAGGATCCTTGCTGATGTCACAGCCAGGACACCAACAAAGATGCAGATTCCCAGATGACCTGGGTGGTTTGGTTGTACTGTCCCCATGCTAAACAAGGACAGACATCCAGGGGAGAGACAGGCCTGGCCTGGGATGGTGGCAGCAAATAGCCTGTGGTGGTAAATGTGCCCTGGGATGCTCCTGCTGGGTCAGGCACAATGCTCTGGGGTTAGCATGTCTTGAAGATGTTCTTTTCCAGTGTTTGCAATTTTAGGTGAGCTAGAGCACACCCCCATTCTGCCTCTCTCCTCTACTCTATTCCTTCTCCCCTCTTCTTCTTCCTCTTCTTCCTCCTCTTCTTCCTCCTCCTGTTCCTCCTCCCATTCTTCCTCCTGTTCCCACTCCTCCTCCCTGCCAAGTCAAATCCAAATGTGACAGAAGAACTGGTGGATGGTAAACTTTCACCAATCAGTACTCAAACACCAGACCACAAAGGAATTGCCAACTGTGTAAGAAGTCCTTGTGTCCCCAGAGTGTTGGAGCTCACATGAACCCATGATCTTACCACAACCTGTCCATCTATATAAAGAAGGAGTGGTTCATTTGCACTTTGAAATTCCTACTGGAAACAGACTGGAGATCCCACCCTGCAGCATGCTGTCAGCTTTCCTGTTTGGAACTTTCTGTTCTGTTCCTATAAGTTCCCATGAAATCCAAGTTCCAAGAAAAAAAAGGGCAGCCATGGAACATGATCATTCCTTGTACCTAGGGTTCTCTTTTGCTTTGTCTCACAGAGTACTCCTACCCTTAATTACAATGGAAAAATTGCCACAGCCTCCTGACTGTTGTAGGTGGGACGCAAGATGATGAGGTGAATTCCACAATCTCGATGGCATCTGAGTGTGGCCGGTGTAGGATGGTTCCAACAACCGATTCAGTATCTGCTGTTGGCCTCTGCTACAGAAATCTCCTCTTCTCTGAGAGGAAGTGAGAACTAAACACAAATGATAGTGGCTGAGAAAGCAAGTGGGCCACCCTGGACAGTGCTGTGCAGGGCACTGTTCCCTCCAGAATGGAGTCTGGAGGTCCAGGGGGCTTTAGTGCTCGAGCTACCAGAGCATGCTTGGGACTAGTGCAGGAGGATGTGTCCACTGTGTAACTGTTTACATGTTACAGATGAGGCAGGCCAGCTGGCGGGTTTGTTGGACATATGGGGACTCAGTCTCTAATGGGGAAGGTGACAGGGTGGCCTTGGCATGGGCCCCACCTGGAGTTTATGATCTTCTCAGGAAGTGCTGACTCAAAGCATCAAATATTCTCTTTAAAGAAGTGAGCTGGGAGGGCTGTTGGGCTAGCTAATAGGGGAAGCTCTCTGGCATGTAGTGAAGACTCTGCAGTGATAAGAGGCAAGGGGCCAGGGGATGGCCTGAGCTTCTTATACCTGTGTGGTGGCTCCCACTGGGATGGTGGGCCTGGTAGAGGCTCTGCCACCAAGTAAGGAATAAGATGGGGAGGTTATTGGTGACCACAGAGAGTGACAGATGTTCACTGTGTGTTATCTGGTGTGTGCACTCCTGAAGTGTATGGTCACTCTCAGCCTGTGATGACATGGACAATGGTGGCATATGCTCAGTTATCTGTTGTATAACACAGCATTCTGAAACTTAGCTGGAAATAGCCTCAGTGTGTGGATTAGAAATCTGGAAGGCTTAGCCTGTGGCTCATCCCATGTGGCTAGGACCATTCATTGTTGGGCTGTGTCCATTGGGGGCCAGGCCAGAATACACTGTGGGTTGGCTCATCAGTATCTGTGTTCTCCACACAGCCTGCCTTGGGCCTCCCCTTCTCTGTCCTTAGCATCCTTAGGCCTCTTGATGATGCAGGCCCAGCTACTGCATGGCTACATGAAGTCCTGAGGGAGTGGGGAAACTGCCTCAGGCTCATACAACCTCACTTTGCCCCGTCCTGTAGTCAGAACAGGTGCGGGGGAAGGGGTTATAGATTCAAGCCCAGGAGAGCGGCAGTGGTCCCACCAGTGGTCATGGCAGGCATTATCTCCCACCCTTGGAACAACAGCCTTCAGACAGACCTGCAGCCCTGGCTGGGTGGCCATGAGGTCTGGGTGTTGTGGAGCCCTCATTGCTGAGTTGTTAAAAACATGGCTGGAGAGATGGCTTAGCACTTAAGAGCACTGACTGCTCTTGCAGAGGACCCAGGTTTGATTCCCAGCACCTACTTAGCAGCTAAGAACAGTCTGCAACTCCAGTTCCAGGGGATCCAACACCCTCTTCTGACCTCCTCAGGTATTGCACAACATGGGTACATATATACACATGCAGGCAATATACTCATACACATAAACTAATAAATAAAATATTTTTAAAAACATGGGATGTAGGAGGAGCTACACTTGCTTACAAACACAATGGCTAACAAGTCATTAGAATTACCCCTATATGAAATATATAGTCTTAAAATGATGGTCAAGTTCTTACCAAGCAACTTTGTCAACTCAGCAGTCACAATAGAGTTGAAAGGAGGTAGGCAGGAATGTTTAGGTAAAATGAGGGAGTAATTTTTAAAGTAATTTAAAAAAATATTATTATTACATTTATTTATTGGAGGGTGGGGTCAGAGAATAACTTGTAGGAGTTGGTTCTCTCTTCCACCATATGGGTCCAGAGGATGGAAAGCAGGTCGTCAGGCTTGGTGACAATCACTTCTACCCACCGAGCCATCTTAATGGCTTTGTTATTATGTTTTTGGAAGAATCTTGATACACAGTCCAGACTGCTTTGGCCTTTAGACTTGCTGGGATTACAGGTGTGTGTCATTGTGCCTGGGATTACAGGTGTGTGTCACCGCGCCTAGCCGGGCAGCTGTTTTAGTTCTTCTCATTTTTGTACACTGTCAATATTTCTTCCAAAAGCGTGCATTTTTTTCAGAGTGAATGCATAGATCAGTGAGGAATTCTCTTTAATTTTAACTGAAACACCCAGAGTTTATGAAAAGCCTCTGTTTCCTGTTGAAGACAGCTGGGAAGCCAAACTCAGCTTAAGAACCTACCTTTGTTTCTCCCTAGGTGGGCGGGGGCAGGACGGAAGCCCAGTTATCACCTTTCCAGACTACCCAGCCTTCAGCGAGATCCCGGACAAGGAGTTCCAGAATGTCATGACCTATCTCACCAGCATCCCCAGGTAGGGCCTGCTGAAGCCAGAGCTATGGCTTGTGCCTTTGACCCCTTGACCGAGACCCCTGGGAAGAGGTGGAGCTTCATCAATGAAGGGAACTGTGGCCCAGAAGAGCTGAGGATCTTGCCTGAGATCTGGTCTGGGGTCAGAGTCCACTGTTAAAGCTGCCAAGCCTGTCCTCCCAGAGCCCTGGAGCTGTAATTCCAGCACTTGAGAGACTGAGACAGGAGGGTCCCGAGTTAAGGCCAGTCTGAACTACTAGGGAGTTCCTATTTCAGGAAAACAAAATATAATCACTTTTCTCTTCATGAATGCCACTAGCCATTTTATATTCTGTGCTCAAAGATCCACAGTGGGCGGGGTCTCTCTCTGCATCCCCGAGGGAGGCCCCATTGTAGTTATATCTATGGAGGGAGATCGTTTGTAGCTGAGGTCCAACTTGTCCCAAATGTGGCCCATGTGTTCTCAGTAGGAGCAGAGTAGAGTTCCATCTCCAGACAGGTGATGTATTAGGGTTCCCTAGAGGAAGAGAACCCATGGAATGAATATATATTAAAAGAGGATTTATTAGTTGGCTTACACAATACAATGTGTGTAGTCCAATGATGGCTGCCTCACATCAGAGAAGCCCAGAACCTGGCAGCTCCTCAGTCTATGAGACTGATTATCTCAGCAGACCAAGTCCAGGACTGAGGGCCTGGAGGATTCCTGGAAAGCTGCTGGTTTTCAGTCTGGATTGGAAACCTGAAGAAACTGAGTCTAACATCAGCAAAGGAATGTAGCAGTGACAGCAACAGGATAGATGAATTTGCCAGCCAGGGTGAAGGCAGGCAGGCAAAAAGCAAAGCTTTCTCCTCCCTTGTCCTTTTATCAGGGCTACCACCAAAAGGTACTGCCCACATTTGGGGTGGGTCTTCCTTCAAATGAATGATCTGATCAAGAAAGTCCCTCACAAGAGTACTGAGGTTTGCGTTTTAGTTCATTCTAGATCCAGTCAAGTTGACAACCAAGATTAGCTGTCACAGGTGGCACAGCCAGCCCTGGCCTCACTGTCTCAAATGGGAGGATTCGGACCCTGAGCTGAAGGGGACGGAGCCTCTGGATATTATTGAAGACAGGATGGCATCCTCATGTGTGCAATTTGACAGAGCAGCAGCTGCAGTGAGCATCACGCCAAGTGACAACCTTAATGTGATAGCTGCATTCTTCATTCGTGAAGTAAGGGATGTGTCCATGTCGAGGAGGGTGCAGCCAGTAAGCTACAGAGTAGCTATCTGGTACTCAATTGGCCTTCCATCCTTGGCTCACCAATGTTACCAACCAGTTGCAAGATGATGGTAACTCGGAGTTCTGTGGATCAGTGTTAGGACAGATCCTAACATCATTCCCATCTCCTACCTTCCTGTAGAAACCACCAGTCAGTTATGCCCAGTCACAGCCAGAGTGAACTTTGAGGGGATAAGCAGTAGATTCTTCTGGCAGGTATCTATTAGCAGGGAAGAGCTGTCTGGGCAGGGGAGCTGCCCAGTGGACACAGGAGAAAGGTAGACATTTCTATGAACAGAGCAAAGGTGGCTGGAGTCCAGTGCTATTATGTGCCCTGCCTGCCTGCTTTTTTTTTTTCCTTGTGGATCTTGGTACCCAACATAGCCAGCTCTGTGCTAAAGCCTGGGGATGACTTGATATTGCCCAGCATTTCTGAGCATTTTCTTCCTGGTCCTTACAGCCACACCACCACAGGGAGGCAGCATGTATGGCCAGTATGCCTAATGGGTGATGGCAGTGTCTAGGAAGTGACCACCGGGGGCCCAGGATACATAGGTATAACATGTCTGGGGACAGCAGAGACAGGCCAGGAGTCCTAGGGGCAGCTGTGGCCCCAGACTTCTGGTCTTCAGACTCACAAAGCTAAATAAGATAACTGCCAGTGCAGAATTGAGTGACACGCCCACTCCTTGGGTGTTGGTGGTTGCTCCTGCTTACATCCCAGAACCAGAAATTGAGTCTCCTTCCTCATGTGGAACCTTCAGGTCCTCCTGTCAGAACACTTCCTACCCCTCGGTCACCAGGTCACTTCTCTAGGATGTGCTCAGGAGCTCAGAAGCTGCTTATAGATACCGAGAGGACACAGTGTTCTGTTTACCAAGTGGTTCTAGAACCTTCCCCAACCCCTTCTATCCGCTTTCCCTCTTTCATCCCCATCCAGAAATCTCAGATCCAAACCTCTGTGGACTGAGACACCATGCCTCCTCTGTAGTGATCATAGACAAGCAAGCTCACAGACAAAGCTCTTGCTGCCAGAGCCCCAACTGGTGGCTCCTTAGGCCCATGTCTGATGGCACTGCTTGACAGGTTAGGCCCTGGGCAGCAATAGTCATGTGACACTGTTTCCTAGGTCTGTTGGTCACTTTCTGTAGCTGTGATAAAACACCATGACCAGAGGCAACTGATGGAAGAATTTATTTGGACTTATGGCTCTAGAGGGGAGTCTAATGGCAAAGAAGGCAGAAAGTGGCAGGGGTAGAAGCTGGCTGGTCACGTTTCACCACATGGGAAGAGAGTGTGAACAGGAAGTGGGATGAGGCTGTAGACTCCCAAAGCTCACCCCCAGTGGTTACTCCCTCCAGCAAGTTTCTACCTCCCAAGGGTTTCATAACATCTCCAAACAGCAACACCTACTGGGGATCAAGTGTTCAAATGGGCATACCTATGGGACACATTTCTCATTCAAACCAGCATCCCAGTCTGTGGATGAATCTTGGGTGTCCCAGTCACCCTTAAATCTAAAAGCTGAAAACACTATTTTATGTCACCAGTCTACATCAGTCTCTGGAAATGTTGGCACTAACACACTTGATTTAATGGTGGTGAGCCTCTCTCTGGGCTCATGACTGGCTGGCTCTCTCTTACCTGCTTGCTCTTAGGACCTTCTCCATACCCTGGGATCAGCTTTCCACCTCAGGACCTTTGCACTTGCTGTCCCTCTGCCCAGGCTGCCTCCACAAGAAGGCCTCCATCACTGCCTATTTGGAGGAGGAAGTGCCCTTCAAGGCCTCTCCAGGCATCCATGCCTTACTGGCTTGTCATGTTCACTGGGCTTGTCCCAAATCAGCCTACTTGTCTAGCATCTATGTAGATGGAATACAGATGGAAGCAGGCTTATGATTCCTCAGCAGATGTTTATGTGTGTTCAGGAAAGCACAGCACACATACCCAGCCATGATGGGAGGACCCCGGGGCTTCACCCAGCACACTTGACCCTAAGGCTCCCCCCCCCCCCGGCCACTCATGTTAATTGGGACATTGGGCTGTGTTGAGAGTTCACACCTCATCAGGATAGAGCATTTCCAATGCCTGATTCTAAGAAAGCATGTCTCATGTTAATTGGGACATTGGGCTGTGTTGAGAGTTCACACCTCATCAGGATAGAGCATTTCCAATGCCTGATTCTAAGAAAGCATGTCTCATGTTAATTGGGACATTGGGCTGTGTTGAGAGTTCACACCTCATCAGGATAGAGCATTTCCAATGCCTGATTCTAAGAAAGCATGTCTGTATCAGAAGTGGGAGACACGGGGATCGCAAGACAGTGGCTGGTTGCTATGGGGTCTCCTAGAGCTGGCTAGAGGCCGTGTCTGAAGCTAGAGTAAGAGAATCTGCTTCCAAGACTCCAGTTCCCAAAGGCATGGAGGGCATCTGTATGAGAGTGAGGGGGTGTGCACTAGAGTGTGCCCTACATGTATGTGTGTCAGTGCAAATATGGCATGTGAAGTATATAGTTTGTGGGGTGTGTGTGCAGTGCACTCAGCTGTGTGTGGGGTGTGGTGCATGTGTGCAACAGATATGTGGGGGTGTGGCAGAGTGTGTGGCATGTGATACACATGTGGGTGATATGTCACGTGTATCTGGTATGTGGCACACGTGTCTATGGTATATGGTATGCATGATTGTTTCATGTTGCGTGTGTGGTATATAGTACATTTATCTGGTTATGGCACATATGTGTGGTTGTATGTGTTGCATGTGTGTTCTGGTTAGCTTTATATTGTTGTGATAAAACACTGACCAAAACCAACTTGGGGAGGAAAGGGTTTATTTGGATTACAGCTCAGAGCCCATCATCAAGGGAAGTCAATGCAGGAACTCATGGCAGGACCATGGAGCACAGACCATGGAAGAGTACTGCTTACTGCCTTGCTCCTGTGGCCTGTGCCCAGGCTTCCTTCTTATTCACCCTGGGACCATCTTCCCAGGGGTGGCACTGCCCACACTGGACTGGGCCTTCCCACATCACTCAGCAATCAAGAAAATGTCTCCCAGACGTTCTCACAAGCCAGTCTGATAGAGGAAATTCACCAGTTGAATTTCCCACTTCTCTTCCCAGGTGTGTCAAATTGACAACTAACACTATCCAACACAATGTGTGTGGTGTGTGGCACATATGTGGTATAAGGCATATATGTGAGTTAGACGTGTGTGGTATGGTGAACATAGGGTGAGTAGTTGTGTGGTGAAATGTGTGTGGTATGTGGTACATATGTATAGTGTGTGATGGACTGTGTGGTATGTGATACATGTATATATTATGTTATGGATTGTGTGTCCTGTGAAATACATATATGTATTACGTGATGGACTGTGTATGGTATCTGGTACACATGTATACTGTGTGATGAACCGTATGTGGGGCTGTGGTACGCATGTATAGTGTGCAATGGACTCTGTGTACTGTGTGGTACATGGGTATAGTACGTGATGAACTGTGTGGTGTGTGGCACATGTATATAATGTGTGATAATTGTGTGTGGTGTGAAGTACACATATATAATATGTGATGGACTATGTGTGATATGTGGTACATGTGGTATGTGATGAATTGTGTATGGTGTGTGGTGTATAGTGTGTGATGGACTGTGTGTAGTGTGTGGTACATATGTATAGTATGCAATGGACTGCATATAGTATGTGGTACATATATATAATATGTGATGGACTGTGTGTGATAT